TGTTTGATTGTCTTGGGCAGAAATCTTGTAAAACATTACTAAGTGGTGGTACTCCTCACTCACATCAAAGACGATTCTACTTTGAGGAGAAAATACTGCTAATACCACGTTCGTGCTGAATATCAGTCACCCTTCACGTTGACAGAAAACTGTCCTTTGCCTCCCTTTCTCATTGCTCGCTCAGCTTGCTTCTACCCCTGCCCTCCGAGTCCATGTTTAATTCTGCCCCAAGCTCGGCTTCATGCTCTCCTTTGACATAATTCAATTTATACCATTTACATCACCCCTACTTTAGCAACTTACCCCCAGGACATTCATACTTAGAATTTTCTTCTCTTTCTTAGCAAAACTCCCTTGTCCTAGGCGGCATGTTCTCCAGGCCACAGTTCATGCTACTTTAGAAAAATTAGCATATGCTAATATGTTAATATGTACGAACAGCATAACTTATTACTTACCCATCCACAAAGTGACAAATTAACATTTAGGCTAATAGTTACCCAAAGGACAACTACTAATACTGGGAAATTTCAGGTGATCTTGTAGGAAGACACTTCTGTTGGACAGGTGGCTGTGTCTTTGAATGTTCTTCCCATCCCCTAAGTGTTCGCTGGGGCACCGGAAGCAACACCAGTACTCCAGCAGGGGCTGGTGCTTTGTCCCTCACAGGGACACGTAACCAACATGTTCTGTGCTGCTCTGGTCTCATTTCCCTTTACAGGTCTTAGTCACAGTAGTTTACAACAGGGCATTTGGGCAAATTAGAAAGACCAGAATCAAGCAATGGTAACAACCTCCTTTGGTGCAGGCTTTGTCTCAGAAACAGAATTGGGAAAAGCAGCTGTGACTGTCACATTGGATCAGCTGCGACAGATGGACAACATGGAGCTGCCTCCATGGGCCCTCGTTGCCCACTCGGGGCAACGGGCAGTGACACAGATCTGACTGAGGCTGTTCTCCCAAGTAGCAGCTACTGAACAGTGATTGTGTTCATGGTAGGGGCCTTGTGGATTGATCTGTACATCAACAAAGAAGAGAAAGACAGCCGGTTTACTTCTTAGAAGAAGCAATAAAGATATTTTCCCTTGAAAATATGGGAGGTACGTCTCTGATGGGAACCCTGCCCCCCATTACACACACACACACACACACACACACACACGCTAACGAAACACCCAGTGAAAACGCTGCCTTCCAGTCTGCCTTCCTGTATTCCTTAGTGCGCACGAGTATGCAAAAACGCACCTCTCTCAGACGCTCAGCCTGATCGAGTGATAATCTCTTATAATGTGCCTCTATTTAAAGCAACAAACAGATGGAGGGTTTATGAGCAAGGCTGGTAAAAGTAAAAGCAAATGGTCGTAATCGTTGTACTTTTAATAGGTTTCCCCACAATCTAAAACATTATTCCCCAAGGAACAAATTGTTCTATAAAATTATGTTCCTCAGGGAAAAGACAGTCCACCCTGACTGCTGAGGCAAGAGAGGCCCCAGGGCAGCCCCCAGACACAGGGCACCCTCCAGTCAGGTCAGCGTCCTGGCAGAGAGGACTTGGGGGCACCGTGATCCCCAAAGAAAATGTTTGGTGGAACTGGGGAGAGAGCAGAAAGATCAAGGGTAGAAAAGGGTATGAAATATGTATGAGCATTGATTGAACTTATTAGCTTTTAATTCTCTACTTTGTAAAACAAGGTTTGGGAAATGTCTACAGATTGGAGATAAGCACACAACATGACTTCCTTCTCCACCAACACAGACCAGTAAGGCCAGCACAGCAAATCCTGCTTAACAAATAGTGGAATCTTACACAACCCAGTACCGATTCATTATCATTATTCCTTTTTAAGAGCAACAACACTCACTACAATCCTATCATTAAGATGAATATACTGTAGTGATGGCCTTTGCGTAAATTATAATTAAAGCTAATCTTAATTAAAGTTATTACACCCTTTTGGAAGAAAATAAACAACCCAAAGAGAGGAAAACAATGCGGTCAATAACTCACTCCAAAAATATTTTTTGCCTCCAAAGCTCTCATTGAGGGAGACATTCCTGCGCATGATACAAATGGTTCTGACATTAAGAAAAGTAAACAAGTAAGAAAAATAAAGATGGAAAAATTCTGTGGTCAGTTCACAAGTGCTTTTTTATTGTTTGAGGCAGGGTTAAAGCCTTTTATAAAGACAAGGATATATGTGCCGCTAGATTGGATATGACATTGGACTAGCCTAGCTGCCCTTGCACAGAACTCTGGTGCCCATAACATGCCATGGACAAAACAAAGAACTATGGTGGGACCTAATGCAGCTAATTTAAAGCATTACCCCAGTGCTGTTTTATAGATCAGAAAGAAAAAAGGTACTTGACTCTGGTTATTAATGGATTTGAGAAACAAAGGCAAACATTCAATATCCTCTCTTAATGGTCTTGAGGGTTTTAATCTAAATAACTGATTACCAAAGGTTACATAATCTACAAGAGGGACTCAAGCCAGGCTCAATGAAAGTCATTCAAGGACTGTGTTGACTCAGTAGGCCAGGCTCCATGTAAATGGGGTAGAACTGGGAAAATAGGTTCTTCTTGGGTATTTCAGGCATTCTGGCTCCCCAGACAGTTTTATAATAGCAACTCTCCAGTTATTTGGTATCTGTAACTTGGAAGGATTCTCTTTCAGGTTTAATTGTCTTTGAACTAACCTAATACTGGGAGATCCAGGACAATGAACACCTGGTCTAAACAGAAAAGCAACGTCTTGGCTGGTTTTCTCAGTGGTCAGAGCACTGACCCACAGATAGAAGGGTCTCGGGTTCAATCCCATTCCAGTCAAGGGCACATACCTGAGTTGCAGTTCAATCCCCAGCTGTGTGGGAGGTAACCACTTGATGTCTCTCTTTCTCACAATGATGTTTCTCTGTCTCTTCCTCTCCCTCCCTTCCACTCTATATAAAAATTAATGGAAAGTTATCCTTGGGTGAGGATTAACAACAACAAAAATGTTTAAATAGAAGAAGTAAAAATAAATGCTATCATGTCAAGAGTGACCACCTTTCAATTATTTTCCAGAGTGATGTTACTGGTGCACCAACATATTAAATGACATTACAGCCACACACCCAGCCTGATTATACTGTTTGCCCTGCACCGTTCGTGCTAGAATACAGTCAAAGGTGCACCAGCGCAGCTCACCAGCTGTGGGTTTCACTTCTGAGAGGTCCTGAGAATGATACCAAATTGAAAGGGTTTGCAGCTTCTATTAAAAACTGTTTGGTCTGGTAGATGTTTTCTATAGTCTTCCCTTCTTTCTTATCTTCTGACCCACCACTCCATCTTTTATCACCTTACTCTCTTTATTTTATATTTATTTTTATTTTTTTTAATCCTCACCAGAGGATATTTTTCCATTGACTTTCACACAGAGTGAGAGGGAGGGAGGGAGGGAGAGAAACATCGATGTGAGAGAGACACATCGATTGGTTGCCCCCCACATGATCCCAGCCAGGGCCAGGGATCCAACCACAACCAAGATACATGTCCTTGACCAGAATCAAACCTGCAATTCTTTGACCTGCAGGCTGACCCTCAGCGGTTCTCTACGTGTGGGTCACGACCCCTTTGGAAGTCAAACCACCCTTTTACAGGGGTCGCCTAAGACATAACAGTAGCAAAATTACAGTTTGGAAGTAGCAACAAAAATAATTTTATGGTTGGGGGTCACCACAACATGAGGAACTACATTAAAGGGTCACAGCATTAGGAAGGTTGAGAACCACTGTGTAACTTCTGAGCCAAACTGGCCAGGGCATGACCTCATTACCATTAAATAGCACCCAAAGTCCGTGGCTCAACTGGTTGAGCAAGTGTCATCTCATGCACCAAAGGTTGCTGGTTTGATTCCTGGTCAGGGCATAAGTGGGGGTTGCAGGCTGGATCCCCAGTAGGGGGCATGCTGGAGGCAGCCAGTCCGTCAGTGTTTCTCTCTCTCCCCTCTCCTCTCTCTCTCAAAATCAATAAAAACACATTTTAAATAAAATAAATAAATATATATAATAAATAAAAAGCACCCAAAGGAGAAAGCTAACTCCAAACATGAACATGGCCATAGACATAGCAGGAAGTGTGTGTGGTTAGAAATGAGTGAGTGAATGAATAAGTGAATGAATGAATGAATGAATAAGTTAAGAAAATATAAAAGGTCCCTGGCATACTCAGAACCTGGGGCTGGAAAAGATGCCTGACACTGCCTAGCATTCCGGGCAGAAATTGGATTTAGAAAAAACCAAACAAGGCCAAGTCCACGCTTTTGTAGTCAGAGGTTTAGGGAAAGCTAGTTACTCCCATTCAGAAATTGTGACAACATGACACTGGCCATAAATGAAGGGCCTGGCTGAGAACGTATGCCTTCTACTCTCTGAGAAATTGCAAACCAAAATGTATTGCCTGCAATAAAGATACTAAAGACTGGGGGAGGGGCATGCAGAATATAAGAGATCAAGATTTAAGAGGACTAAAAGAGTGTAGGCTTCCTCAAAATTGTGACTATTTCACTAAGAATAAACCCATAGCACAATGGTATCGAAGGGATCTCTACTCAATAGGCAAGCTGAAGACAGTCTTTCTGACTTGATTACAGCCACTGAGCATGCGCAGGGAGGCCCCAGGTGTGACCTCTGCTCCCTTGTGAGCAGCAGAGGGCCAGGCAATCTATCATGGTGTTCATCCTGTCAGCCCTGGTGCCTTGCCGCTGCTGTCTGTCACCCTGGTGGATGAGACCTGCTTAAGGGCAATCATGTCAATCTCTATGTGACCACTCAGGCTAAGGCAGAAAGATGACGTTGACAGGCCTGGCAAAGCCAGCAGAAGGTACCAAAAGCCGAAGCCACAGCCTTCTCACAGAGATGCAGTGTGGGCCATTGTTTTTTTCCTTCAGCCTTTTCTTTATGTTTGCTTTCCCCTTTTCTTAAAATCTCGTGACATGGGCCAAAACATACAGAACTTGCCTTCAGAGCTGGTCATCGCGAATAAACCTGTTGCCCTCCGAGTTTTTTCCGTAGTAAAGATAGCGACACTTCCCCAGGACACCTGAAAACGAAGGAAACACGTCATCACAAACTGCAGTTCCAGCCAGATCCCGATCGGGCTGCAACGCAGAAGCACAGCCCCGCCATCGATCCCGAGGGCACCAGCCCAAGGATGAGCCCGGGGAAGGGCCCCCCTGCTTGTCCTCAGAGGTGACAGTCACATAACGTCAGCAGAGCTCAGGTTTCCAGGAGTAACACGGTCCCCCGGGATGTCTCTTCCACACTTGAGAGACTTCTCTAGTGTGGCCAACTACTCCTCAAAATAAAGCATCACCCTCTCCTCTCTCCGTGTTCCCTTAACAGTTTCTAAAAATGGGAAATTAATTGTTTAAAGATGGACCCAGCTCAAGCAAAAGATGTGGAACCATCTTCCCAGAATGTGACTATTTTTAAGGCCTCTCTCATGAATCAATGCTGTCGACGTCCAGGAAGGACCTCCCGATCCCCAGGAGGCAGCCGGCGCATCGCAGTGGTTCCGGGAGAGTGGTGGTGTGACAGAATGCCACGTGCAAAGTAGCGATGGCCTCCGACACGAAATGGCTCCTTCCTGCAGGCGTCCCAAACTGTACTCTCAGGTTGGAAGGCATTTGGTACTCATTTTCATTTTCAATAATCATTTGGCTCCATATACAGCTTTCCTTCCACTTGAGGAAATTGCAGGAGGACCGAAGTATGAAAAATACCCCTAGAATAGGGTATTCTAACCCTTTTATTCAGCTCAGGATTTATTCTAACTATCCATAAGAAACCACCTGCCAGAGTTTTTATAACAGCTTTGTAAGATTATTAATGAAAAATAAGTTTTTCCAGGAAAATATTTATAATTACAATTTGCTTTTTGCCACCTTGTTTTTTTCCTTCATTTTAGAGAAACTTAAAATTCAGCGTCACAGAGTTGTCTTATTGCTCATAGCACCTGAGTCTCCGATGTGTGTATAACTAGGAAACAAAATGTCCACAACACTCATTCACTAGCCACAAATTGGCCTATAAAAATAGCTATGTACATGCATGAATTTTGTCCATCTGTTTGATAGCAGAAAACCAACAGTCACCATCTATTGTTCATTCGGGATAACTTAGCACTTGAAATTACCCAGGTTCTCTACATCAGAAGTTCTAAGTAGTGAATATTCTTGCGAATGTATAAGTGATATATCTCCACTGCAGAACTTGAAACTTTATTCTTTTTTTTTTTTTTTTTTTATCCTCACCCGAGGATATTTTTCCATTTTTTGTTCAGGTAGAGTGGGAGGGAGAGAGAGGAACACAGAGAGAGAGAGAAACATCGATGTGAAAGGGACACATCGAGTGGCTGCCACCCGCACGACCGACCAGGGCCGAGGACAATCTGCAACCGAGGTACGTGCCCTTAGCGGGAACCGAACCCGGGTCTCTCAGGACCGCAGGCCGATGCTCTAACCGCTGAGCCAAACCGGCCAGGGCTGAAACTTTATTCTCAAATAAGGATTAAAAGTGGCTCTTAGAAACTCTTAAAAGACAGGGCAGATACTCCTGGGTTTGAGTAGCTTGGGACAAAGTCGGGAATTGCCGGGGTCACAGAACCTGGGTGTTGGCAACCGGGAGAAGATGTATGCTCCATGGCCCCCGAGCGGCTCTCGTCACTCCTGTTTGCCGCCACGCTGCCCTGAGCGAGTTTGCTGTGGGCCACACTGTCTCCTTGCCTCCCCCACCCCCAATTTCTGTTTTTGAGTTTGAGTCTGGAGCCTGGAAACACTGGGCTTGGATGAAACCTCCCTGAATACTTTCTTGGGCCTAAATGATTCTTTTAGCTGTTGGCACTGAGCTGTTCTTTTTATTGGGCTGAATTGTGTAGCAGCACCTGGGGTTGGACCAACATTGTCACCAGCGCCCTTGGCTGGTTAGAATCTGCTCTGGGAAGAGCACCCCCTGCAGGCCAGAGCAGGAGTGTCTCAGATGTTTCTGAAAATCCACAAGGGCTTCCTTAAACATAACCGATTCAAATACATCTATGAAGAATGTGGAAGAACGAGGCTGAGAGATGTTAATTTCTCCCTACAGCACCAGGACAGCATGCATTTTTATAAAAAGAAATGGATAGGCCTGTCAGATGCCATAAGGAGCACGGTCTCTCTCGTGAGCAGACACACACACCATGTTCTTTCTCTCCTGCAAACTTTCCAGAGCTGCAGGATTGAATTTCTTTCCTCTATCCTCTCTCCATGGTACATCTCAACTCCAGACCCCAACCTAGATGCCCTCCAGTGCCATCCTAGAAATAGGCCGTCTACTCCTGGAAAACAGGCCCTTGTGTGAGGAAGGCGAAGAGTTCCGGCCACGTTCCCCAGGTCTTGGCATTGATAAAGGTCCTTTGTAGGGCCTGCCTCTTCCTTTGGGCCTGGAAGCAAGAATGTTTATAGGCACCCTGGTGACAGAGGGCTGTTTGATGGATGCAGGGGGCTGCAGTGAGGTGTCAGAGCCTGGAAAACGAGGCAAGGACATGAGGTATTAATATTGTCAATGATCTCTTGATGGGAAAACAGATACCACACTCACTGTCAGATTTAAATAGACATCAAGTGCTCTAATGACAAAAGGGCAGACTTCAAACAAAGGGGCTGTGTGGTGCGGAGCAGAGCTGGTCTCTGTGCTGGCGATACCCTGATGTGAACAGACACTGTCAGGGCTCCAGACAGGCCGCGGATTGTGTGTGGTGACAGAGAACAGAGATGCTGACAGAGATACCAGTGCCATATTATGCCAAGGATATTCTACCGCTGTCTGCGGCTCTAACAAAAGCTGACATCACTCCCTATCATGGGGTCTTCTCCGTGAAAGATCTCTCCCCAGAAGTCACTGCAGAACTCTGTGGTCGTAAGGTCCCCGCAGCCCTGTTCTGTCAGAGCGCGGGGGTCAAGGGGCCTGCGGATGACCCCAGTCCATCTAAATTTGGACTTTGCAGGAGGGGCCTGCTCATCCCCCGACGTCTTGGCTGCGGAAGGTGATTAGAGTGTCAATGTGTGAGGAGCCCTCACCTTGAATAAAATCCTTAAAGGGAAGGTGCTCAGTGTGGGGGGGCTCCAGGACGGCACAGGGATGGTCCGGCAGCTGGAGATGAAATCCAGCTGCTGGAGCTGCTCTGGGGAGAAAGGTGTTCGGCTAGTGACAATGAAAATCAGGCTGAAATTTTAAAACTTGAACCGCCTACAATTACGTAAATTAAGCAAGTGTCCTCTGTGACTCCTTACCGGGCGGAGCTCACAGTTGGGAAGCGATTACCCCGAATGGAACTTTTGTGTTCAATAAATAAATAAATAAACCAGTAAATTAGTAAATAAATAAATAAATGAAATTAACAAGGAGGAAAATAAAACCACAGTCCCATCTGTGGCCACAGCACTTTATTTATCACGAAGTTTATTTGGAACATAACAGGATCTGCTCATAAATTAAGGAGGTGGTGGCATGTGTGTGTCTCCCGGCTCCCCCAGGGCCCTCCGTCCCCTGTCATGCCAACTGCCTTAAACTGTGAAAATTACAGAGGGAACAGTTTGCTGGCAAAGCCCCTCAGCCGGGGAGGCTCTGGGCTGGGCTTCGGGAAGCCGCTGGCGGGCTCAGTAGGCGGTGTCTCCATGTCCATCTGCACTCACTTGTCTGTACCTCCTGGAACCCCACGTCTCGGGGCTGGGGGGGAACAGTGTTTAATGGCATACGAAGTGTTTTTAATTCTCTGGGGAGAAATTAATTGGCCACCATAAGTGACGCAAACTTGCCATGCATCAGGCCGACCTGTAGCTGTCTGTGCGAGGTTTTTTGGGGGGAGGAGGGCTAAAAAAATGACAGTGTGTTATCCCCTGGGAAATCCTCTCCTGCCAAATGAGACTCCTAATTTTTCTTAAGGAGCCAGCTCTGCCATCACCATAAGTTCTTAAAACTGTAATTATGGGGAAAAAACTGTTTGGGGAAGAATCTGTTTTAAAGAGGTCCTTTATCTTTTCAATGTTTCCCCCCCTCCTCTGGAATGAATGTTCTAATTATGCAGGTTAAGTTATGACCTTGGAGCTGCCGGAGAGGGTGGGAATCCCCCTTCTCCTTAGCTGCAAGGCTGTGAAGGCAGGAATGGTTGTGGAAACTTTGCGGGGACCTCTGAGTGCCTGGGAAGAAGTCCTGGCACAGGCGTGCAGGGCCCAGCAGAGACCCCGGGGCTGCCTGACCTCCCGGCCGCCTCTCACACTCAGTGCCATCTTGCCATCTGGTGGTAAGGGGGAGGGGCAGACGCGCTGCGGTTGAATCCAGCCCTGTGACAGTGTACATCTCCCTTTTCCTCACTGGGCTGGTTTTCCCATTTGTAAAACGAGGGCAAAGGGCCAGATAATCTCTGAGGTTCATTTTAGTTTTGAAATAGATGAATTAATGTTTTCCAGTGTTTCCCTTATGAAGATGAGGATGTCAGGTCCAATACTGCCTGATGTAGGAGACAAATCCAATGGTTAGTTCATCAAAAATTTGATTTGGACGAAGTCAGCTCTTGAAACACATCCAGCCCATCGTCCCATAACATATAGACAGGGAGCTTTGCTGTATCTCAGAATCCTCAACAAAAGAATTTCCACTAACTCCTGCATCCCGTATTTCAGACTCAGATCTGGGAAGTGCTCACCACTGACTAGCCTAAGTCCCACTAGTTTTGACTCAAATCTCATAACTCCAAATTCAGCAGAACTAAATGCCAGAATAAGTGGTTTACCTTTTGCATTTTAGTTGTAAAAAAAAAATAGCCTTTGCTCATACTAATATATACACACTTATTAGACGATGCAATATATGTTGGACCATAAATCTGTATTTGTAAAATGAAGTATCAATTTTATTCTCATTATTAACATTAGTTTTGCTGCTCATCATTTTAAATGCAGTTATCACAGATGTTTGTAAGTGTAGCTGTGTAATGACGAGTGGATGTGTGACTGAAGGATTATGATTAATAACCGCTACGAAACAGGCCGTAGGGATGCTCAC